TGAAACTCTTTCTCGATTTGTTACGAGTTGCAGACATTTATAGTATTACTATGCAAAGTTACCGGAATCTGAGCTATAGCGATGTTTAAGTGGTCGTTTGTACTCAATTAGGCTACACTTCAGCAGTAATTGTTGGATTCGGTCAGGACACGAATGAAAGCTACATACGAAACACGCTCGCTCTATTGTACTTATCGCTCAATAACTAAATTATCCCGAGGGTCTAAATACAAACATTAAGTCAATACAACCTCGTTAGCTCTTCATTTACTGTTTTGTCAACAAAAAGACTTGAAAACATTACCAGTCGGCACTCAGTAAGCCGGCCACTGAACTAAGTTGGATTTTGATCTTAAATGATATCATGCGATGAAACTAATTTGCACTTGATAGTGAATCAATTGGAACGAGTGTGTATTTAGTGTAAATGTCTGAACACCTACAATGAAAGGAATAAACACTTACAGTAGAGCATTGCTCCAGCTACGTGACGGCAGGTCGTGACAATTTCAATTCTTTGCATGACCAGCTAAACTATACACTGAAAACATAAACTTATTAATGCCTCGCGATTTTATAGTACTTTAAATTCCGGCACACCGATAAGAAGCTAAGGTCAGTATAATTTTCTTTCCACTTGGCCTACGGCTTCGCCATTAACTGATGAACTCTTTTGTCGGAAACATATGCTCTCTTAGGATGGGTTCAGCTCTGATTAATGAAAGGTTCATTCCTTTTATCGTGAGTGTTTCAACTGATTCAGAAGATAACACATTTCTTACCAGATTTACCGACTCCTTTGCTTCCAAGAGCCAAGAATCTCGCTTCAGGCGGTACCAGAGAATTCATTTGTCCTTCTGTTTCATGTCAGACGATGAAAGTACCTTTCGATCTGCTTGTTGTGGTAGCTACGTAGTAATTTCTCGCATTCCTCTCAAAACTCACACTATGTTTCATGCCCTACAGCTACACATTGAAAGCATTTTTGACAAGCTTATTGTTAGAAATAATACATCTTTGTCAATACTGATATGTTTTAGGGCTGACCTGATGGCGGGGGTTCGTCGAAAATGTGGTTTGTGTAATGCAAACAGTTTCTAAGGGAAGTAAATTCTTTGTAGCAGATTTGTTTAACATCAAAACGCAATTCTCGCCGGAGTTTTCTTTTTACGAGCGCTTGAATGGCTTCTCAGATTTTTAATGGCTTTCTTGGACATTTACATTTCTCAATAGGTAACATCTTAATTGCTCATGATTAGCAGCGATTTAGTGGAATTTGTCATTTAATAACAGAAAGTGAAAAGATAACATTATCACCCTCTTCAGACAAAAACAGTCACGGAGCCACTTGAAAAGAATAATAGCCTATGTACATCCGCCTCATTCCCTCAAAATAAATCGATTTATTTCGAGGGGAGAGATGGATGTACACTAGAAGAGAAAATAAGTCGCGTGAGTGCTAGCCTGCGAACACAGACGTATTAACCGAATGCTCTCGCAGGCTACGTGAGTGCGTAATAGAGCGGTTTTCAATCGAGTGTCGTAAAACCAAAACCAAAGTGATCACTCTGGCCAATCACAACAGACGAAAATAACACAAGGAGCCAATCAGAACTCGAAGCAAATACGGGAAAACGCGTGCGACCAAGCCACGATTGGTTTTAGTCTGCGGGTAGTTTGGCATTTAAGAAACGAGCTTGGACAAGTTTTTTTAGTGCGTCTGGCAACCTCGTCCCCAGGGCCATCTCCGCTTTCAAGATGGCGGGTGGGCGCGAAGAAGGGTTGTGCGAGACGGGCACACGACGGATTATGCGTCAAGATGAACTATTGCTTTTGTGTGTCTTGAACGACCAAGTAAGGACTGATAGTTCGTCCCGTCTTCAGTTACACAAGACGCATAAAGCAGCACTGGATGGATTATTTGTCTCTAGTATAAAAAGGCCAGTCTGTTAAACAAGACTGTGGGCTACGTTTCTTCTCAAAATTCGAAATAATTTTGGCGGGAAGAAGAGAGGCTGGGATGTTACTTTGATATTTTCATACATTTCACTGAGTTGGAATATTCACTGTAATTGTACATGTCAAAACTGATTTCTTATTGCGGTATGCCGTCTCTCAGTTTTATTAATGACAGTGAACAGTCATATGAAACTAATTTATTATTGAAATGTTTTATATATATGTTATATGTAAACTAACAGGTTATCCAGCTCCCGTAGCACAGTCGGTTAGAGCGTCGTACTTATAAGCAGTATTGGCGTGAACCGCTGAGCGCTGAAGTAATGCGAAGGTCGGGAGTTCGAGCCTCCCCGGGAGCACTGTTTTTCTTCTTTTTTTTTTTTGCTATAATAAAAATTAGGCCTTCCAAGCTATTTTTACACAGTTTTAAACTAAATTATTTTGCCGAAATGGCAGCTTCCAGTCCTAAGATCGAAATGCGAATACTCTTTACTGTTTACATACATATCTTCTTATGTTAGTTCTAAGAATCTAGTGGTACATCAAGACGATATCCCCTCACTGATGAGTCTTTACAGTTAAAGAAGTTGTTACCAGTGTTAACAGAATTCACGTTTATAAATATCGAAAGTTTACAAAATGTAAGTTACATAGTAAAAATCAGGAATTATTGCAACTCGGGTCTAATTCACTTAGTGTGTGTGTACAAAAGGCAAATAGTTCCTTTTGTGATTATTTAATTGTTTTGAGTTATTTAAGAGTGATTTCTTAGTGACTTATATAATGCTCACTCGCTGATAGATTCTAATCAGAAGATACCTTTTAGTTTTGTTACTGTTAAGTGAAGTCGTACTTTAAGATCGAATATTTCAGCTCAGTATTCTTGGTTTGCAACTGACGTCATCGCCGCCATGTTGGATGACCATTAACAAAATAATTCTAATTAGCTTTATTGTTCCTGTCATCCAACATGGCCGCCAGGGTCTTTGTCATTTGAATCTCTCGGGAATGGTTGCAAATTGGCAAGGTTCGACCGCACGAACGCCGAAAGTCCTATTGTTACTGTCAACAAGGAAAAACTCTGTTTGGCGGGTTTCGTTGCCATAGCATCATCAGTGATGTTTATTAGTAGAGTTGTACTTTCACTTGGTATTCCCTGGAATAATCATTTACTTCTGTTAAGTTAAGTCGAGTTTAGTTTGCTGACGTTCGAACCATGCCAAGACTGAAAAACGACTTCGAACTAGTTGTATTTTATGAGTATATTTTGATTGAGCTATAACTCTTTTTACGTATTCTTTGAGTTCACACCTTTATACACCTAAGTGCTAAAACTACCATAATTAAAAAGGGCCAGTGGGCCAAACAATCTTTTGTAATAGGCTTTTTACAAAGAACGATGTTAATGGAGAGGTTGAAATATTTTGATTGTGGACTCTTTTGCTGTGAATTTGGCTAAAGTGTCGAAACCAAGCTAAAACGAGGCAAAACGGGCATCATAAACGACTTTGGGTAATTTTCCTTAACCCTTAACGTACCAACTACGCATATATGCGTAGTTTGGCCATTGTGACGTCATCAATGAACACGTAACGAGATTAGTTTGACACGCATTTGATGCAGAAAGGATGGATCTTTGTAACCGTGCATCAATTTTGACAATCTAACAAATTCTGCCAGAGTTATGCTGGGAAAACCTGTTCAATTTGTGTTGAAAAATCAGTGCCAAATTTGGCTCTCACACCCAACATACTTCCAGGTTAATTTTTAAGCTCCCTTAAAAGGTTAGGTCAAAACTTTTCCAGCTGATAGGAAGTGTATCAAGCGCCGAAGATAGCAAGAAAAGAAAGGGGGAGTAAAAGGAAAGGAAAAGAGAGAAGGAAAAAAATCAGAAGAAAAAACTTTCTTTTGGCTATGCACTGTGGCCAACGATAAAATTGAACGGTTTTGCCCCAAAGTCTTTTTAACATCTTTCCCTAGTTTTCAAAAGGGCATTTTTAGCAAAGATTATATATATAAATTTGGGGTGACAGCACTAAGAAAACGGGTTCCGTGACCCAAAAATGCGTTTTTCTGCGAATTCTGGTACATTTTTTGGTACAATTTTGTCGTAAACCGTATTCTGGTGCGGCATTTTTAAATTTAGGGGCAGGACTTTTGCCTTTACTTAAAGTGATTACGCAATTGTTTTTACGTTTAACTTATCTTGTATTTTCTCAATCATATTTTAGTTTGATCTTGTTTGTAATGTACGAAAAGATTCTTTGTACAGTTTAGGTCATTCTCGCACCATTTGCATGGCTGGACGTTTTTGCTGTATGTCAGAGATTTCTTGGAAAAGTGGTTTTACGTGCTGCGTAGTAAGTTCATGCACATGATTGGAGTTGATCGACTAGGATTATGAGCTGGTCCTTCCCCCTGGTTGAAAATTTGAGGACAAACTAACCATCGGTTAAACGTTTTCGTGAATAAAAACATAACTGCAGTAGATTTTGGATACGTGTTCAAAGTAAAGAATAATTTCGACAGTTTCACACGCGACAAAATCCACTGAGATGATTACATAACTGATCGTCCAATAAAAGTCATTTTATTCCATTCACGCTGAGCAAACGAGGAACGAAATAGTGCCACGAGATTGCACTCTAATATAACTTTTATTTTTAATTCAATTAACTTCAAATTTCACAACATGAGAGAACTCCACATTTCAAAAAATCGCTTTTTTTGTAAATTTGTCGGGGAAATGACGTCATTCATTGGGCGCCAATAATTATTTTTAGTGCATGGACGAAGATCTCAGAACTCAGAACGAAGATCTCAGAACTCAATAGTTATGGTGCTTTGAATTTTGAATTTGTGCTATGTTTAGTAACAAAATGGAGGGAAATTCAAAATTCAAAGCAACGAGGAGTTTTCTCGTGCTGTGAAATTTGAAGTTAATTGAATTACAAATAAAAAAGATATATTAGACTGAAATCTCGTGGCACAATTTCGTTCCTCGTTGCCCAACGTGATTGTCGATGAAATAAGAAAAACAGTGCTCCCGGGGGGGCTCGAACCCCCGACCTTCGCATTACTTCAGCGCTCGGCGGTTCACGCCAATACTGCTTATAAGTACGACGCTCTAACCGACTGTGCTACGGGAGCTGGATACCTACTCTTGTGCTTATCTTGAGACTGAGCATGAGAATTTCATTGCAAAACAACAAATGATTTTATTTTTAATCTGAAACATGAATGGCAACCTCGTCTTCGTGCTCGCAACGGGTGATTTTCGCGGCAAAAGTAATTCTAAAAATAGCTCAAGGTGTAACTACGCCGTGTCATAGGCTCCAGGGTGATATGCTCCTGACCGGAGCGAGACCTGTAAACTGTACTTCGCGAGCCGCAATAAACCAAGCATTGTGTCTATTCAGGAGCCCGGCTCCTGGTTTATTCGACATGCTTATTGCCAATTACTAGTCAGATCATGACTTTTTAACTGAATAAGAAAGAATGCGGTGTAAATCAAGGTATGAGAAAGATAAAATTAATGAATCATTGATACAAGCTACTCGAAAAAAGCCATTCTCGGGATTCCGAGAATGGCAGGAGCTCGTCGAACCGACACCCTTCTGCATTCCAGTCGGTGGTTACTTAATTACCAACCAAGAAAATTTGGCAAAAGGAAATACGGTTCAATAGTTCAATAGTCAATTCAATAGTCAATACAAAAGGAAATACGGTTCAATAGTAAAAAGGAAATACGGTATAATCAGAGGTCTATAGTTATAGACCTCTGGTATAATGTACATTAAATAGTCGAGACAAAATCTGGCTGAGAAATGCTTCAATAAATTTACAACTTTTTTATTCAAAAAGAGAACTTCTACTAATTAATTCTACCAAGAGAGGATTACAGGGTACTCCTTCCGTCATGCTCTCTTGATTCTACTTATGTCGTGTCTTGATAGTTACAGTTGGCAGGCATACAGGGTAGGGTCACTTCGATCACGACTTACTATGGAATAAACTTGCGCAGGCAATGATCGATCGGTTTTCTATTACGATGCAAAAGTAAAAAAAGTGTACAACAAAAAGCGCAACAGAATTCGCCATTAAAGTTACGTTTACATGCATGTATCAACCAATACTGACAATATTGATTGTATTTACGGGAATAGTCCAGTTCAGATTTAATCTAATTCCTTGCCAACTTTCAGCTACTACAGTTTGTATTCTTCGTTGTTATAAGTCTTCTTGATTGTGTCGGATAATAAAATTATTCTCTATACTTTAGGGCATGCACCTTCGTAAAGGGGCATCGTGGCCCGGGCCACACGCGAACATTACATTTGTGACCTCCAGCGACGGCACATCTCCCATGAGGGACACTTACGCATGCTCCGTAAGATGTCCCATACTGAGGGAAGTTCGACTACATTATATTTCCGAAGCAGACTTTTCTCAAGGCTTCTTTTTTCTTGTCCAATAATGTCTTTGTTGTTTTAGAAACATAAGCTCCAAGCCCGACTTGAGTTCGGAATCGGACGGTAAATACTGATCCTCAACTAGTTCATCTTCAAAATCACCTTCAGTAAACTCCACTTCATCCTCTGAAGTGGTGAAGCTGCTTCTACGAGAGGAAGCTGTGTAAACTTGTTCATCCAGTGAATCGACTTTGATTCCATCGCGGTTTGATCGAATATGTTTTATTACAACAATACCAACTACAGCTCCTAGTATCACGATACCCAGGACTATGCCAGCTGTTGTGACGACTATTGACGTCGTGTTCTCTCGTTCAGGGACCTGAGGAATAATAAATGTAACACACAATCAATTAAACAAAAAATCAGTTAATAAGTTAATATGAATCAATCAATCAATCAATCAATCAATCAAAAACTTTATTAATGTGTCGTTAAACGGTTTTAGCCGAAGGAAAGCCCTCTACTAACAGGGGACACCTACCTAAAATTATATAATTTATGAAACAATCCGTCCATCAGTCGATAAAAGAATCAACCAGCCAATCAACCAACCAACCAGCCAGCCAGCCAGCCAGCCAGCCAGCCAGCCAGCCAGCCAGCCAGCCAGCCACCAGCCAGCCAGCCAGCCAGCCAGCCAGCCAGCCAGCCACCAGCCAGCCAGCAGCCAGCCAGCCAGCCAGCCAGCCAACCAGCCAGCCAACCAGCCAGCCAGCCAGCCAGCCAGCCACCAGCCAACCAAGTCAGCCAGCCAGCCAGCCAACCAGCCAGCCAACCAGCCAGCCAGCCAACCAGCCAACCAACCAGCCAGCCAGCTAGCCAGCCAGCCAGCCAGCCAGCCAGCCAGCCAGCCAGCTAGCCAGCCAGCCAGCCAGCTAGCCAGCCAGCCAGCCAGCCAGCCAACCAGTCAGTCAGTCAGCGGCCAGCCAGCCAGCCAGCCAGTTAGTCTGTCAGTCGGTCAATCAATCAATCGATAATTGGACAGTTAACTAGTTTATCTACGTTCTGATTAGCTTAAAGAAAGGTGAAGTAAAGCTAAGTAAGAAGTATTTCGAATTGATACACTCAACGCCAGTTCATTTACACATAGCCATTATGCTATCCGTGTATAATCATACCTTACTATACATACAAGTGACTTACCCTGATCGTTTTAATGATGGTCTTTGTTCTCTCGTTTTTGTTTGTTTCCTTGTTGTGTGGAGCAGTGCTGGCAAGAAATGCATCCATCATTTTCTCCGAGTTTCGCAGTTTCTCCAATTCCTCCAGTTTGTCGACTTGTTTTTCTTGTGGTTTTGTCTTGTGCTTTTTAAAGCCATCTTTTAGAGGAATTTTCTTCGAAGAAGAAGAGTCTTTACCTTTATGAGCTGCAGAGAATAAGGAAAAGGAGATATAACTGTGAAGACCATAATATTAAGTACCTGATTTTATGAGAAATATGACGTGGCTCAGCATGGACTTCAAGGTGGATAACGATGGTATTGCTGTGTGTCAGTGCAGCAGCGAATGAAAACGCTCAGGTTATTATCAACTTGGCGTTCAAAAGGAAAAGTTGTTAACCGTCTGGCTTTACAGATTTAAACATCTGAGGTTTCGAGCCTTAGCACTGGGGACTGGGGATAACGCTCGGCAGGTCAATATAATCCTGTCAGCTCCAAGTTTACAATAAACTCATGATCAGTCATTGGCTGGTTTTATACTAAGTGACGCATAATCCGTTTGGACGAAATTGGGAAAGATTTTCAAGTGCTCCTGGTTATGAGTCGGCTCAGGACGGGCTCAGGTGGGCCTCAGCATAAAGAAGGGCACAAAACAGAGTTTTGTGCATTTGACTAACGGAAAACATGAAGCTGTTTGTTTTATTCATTGACTGAAAGCTCGAATAATGTTATTTTTGCTTGAAAGTGAAACGAACAATTTTCACGGCAACGGCGTTTTAACCAGCAAGATTCGTAGAATCAAGGCAAGTAAAATAAGCACAACAACCCACAAATGACTTTCGGAGATAATTTTCTGAATTAATTAACCTTTGTTTTGTTCAAAAATTCCTTCAAAATAATATAAAAATCATGGCTTTTTTCGCCTTGTGCTTGTGTTATGTTCCGTTTTCACGTGCGAAGCAAGTATAAGCGCAAGCATAAGGATCAAAATATTTTGGTCCTTGTGCTTTTGCTTGCGCTTGTGCTTGCGTCGCTAGTGAAAACCAGGCGTCACGAGCAGCGCCCATCAAAATACACCTCTTTGGGACAAAACGGAATGAATACGAATGTTACGACATTCTAGTGCATAAAAACAATCGGAAAGATTTTTATTCGTTGACATACCTGGCACCAAAGTGCTGTTTTGTTGTTTCTCTGGCGTGTAATAGCAGAGGAAAAACATGTGGTCTTTCTCTGCTAGATGAATGCCGTACGGGTATTCACCACCCTCGTAATCCGTGTTGCCTCGGTCCTCGTCGTCAAATTTGACAAACTCTGTCACCATATTCATTCCCTTTACCTAAAAAATATGACATTAAGTGTAACTTGTCAGACTAACGTACGGTGAACATTTATAGTCACATGCGACTTTAAAACCTTGATACTGATAAAGCTATCATGATCAAGCAAACGAGAATTAAAAATTTCGACATCGCTGCTGTTTCTAAAGACAAAGAAAGCAGGACAGTTTTTCAATCATTTAAATCCTAGCAAGTGCCGTTTATTTCAACCAGCTCCCGTAGCACAGTCGGTTAGAGCGTCGTTCTTATAAGCAGTATTGGCTTGAACCGCCGAGGGTGCTGAGGTAATGCGAAGGTCGGGGTTCGATCCCCCCGGGAGCAGGTTTCTTTTTTATTATTATGTGGAAACGTTGCTATGTGGAGTTAAATTTGGCTTTATATTTCTAATTTTGAAATTTTACGTTACATTCTTGTGGATTTTTTAGAACCCTTTCCCGACGACCAATGTTTCCCGAGAGGGTTTGTCAATTATAATATAACATACTTTCTAATTACTTTCAAAGTGACTGATTCACCTTAAATGATTTTATGTCGTTTTTTGCTCGTTCGAACTGTGAAAAACGGCCGACAGTTTTCTGAACAAATCTATTGCAGTCTAGACTACGAGTGGTCCCTCTTTCCCAGCTTAGTCCGTCGAGCGAGAAGCGAAAAAAATTGGCGAGCGGAAAATAGTCGCGCGAAAACTGGGGGCGAGACGAGACGTGCGGGAAACATTTTGTCAGTTTTTCCTTCGCGAGCCGAGTAATCCTGAATGCCCAAAAATTTATTTGTTTGTTTGATTAACTCACCTTCTGACAACGTATAGAGTCGTAGGCAAATAATAAAAATGGAGCAATGTTCGGCAAAATGATCTCCTTGCTGGCAGATCCAGATGTACTGCAACAGAAGAAGATCTTTGTGTCTTCATTGAAAAGACCTTCTGGCAACTCGCCATCTTTGGAGTTTTTATTGTCTTTGTTTTCGTCATCCCATATTACGAAACCTTCGTCAAGACCCGTGGGACAACCAGAGCCTTTCTTGTAGATGCAATATTTTCCATCTGGCCACCTGGAAAAGGTAAATATCAAAGTCATATTTTTTTCTGCAAAGAATATCAAGTCATTTAAAATGACTTGCGAGTTATGTAGTTTTTGTTTCACGGTTCGAATACACGCCGCCATGATGTATCGGTTCGAATG